TGTTCAATGGAAAACTCGCAGGCAATAAAGTATTGCAAATTACAGTGTCCCAGGGGTTGAAAACTTTGTGATTGAGAATGCAGAAGAGATGTTCAGCTGAGTTTTATTTCCCACCTGGTATATTTAGCAGTAATATGCAAAGAAAAGGGATATTTTATTGGCTTAGACTTCTGGGGGTTGTTTCCTCACACATCTGGGGTACACCAAGTTAGGAAATACTGTAGTTCATGGACAGAACACTTCTGTCCCCACCAACAAATGCGTGGCATACTCTCAGCCACGCTGGTCTCCATATGCTTAAAATCAAATTAGAGAACCTGAATTAACTGAGCTGTTTCTTTAGCTATAGTCCATATTTCCCCCTATATTTGACCAAGAAGAATACTCTGGATAAGCCTATGGTATTAAAACATTTGTTTTCAAGATTTGGAAGGAGTATATTATCAATATATCATCAAGGTTCCACAATGACACATCATTACTAGAGTTTTGTTTTCCCCCTCTCTCTCTATTGTATATCATAATATGGTGAAATCTCATTTCAGAGAACAATAGAAAGAGTATAACTGTTTTGCTTTCCTATCTCTGGGATGATTAGCTGAATCATTTCTTTTCTAGCGGGTTGGGGAGGAAACCAGTTGAATTATACACACTTCGGCCATGTTGTTGCCATTAACATGATTTTTTGGCTTTGCACAACCCATAACACTATAACAACAGAAACTAACCTTGCCCAACATGTGAAGCTAAAAGTGGTAAGCTGATTGGCTACTCAGTGTGTCATTGGAACAGAGAGGATAAGCAGTATTATAAGCCCATAAAAAACCTATATGATACCCAGCTTGTTAGTGTGAGGCCAACTCCAGCTGAAATGATTCCCACAATAAATGTGTATGTGGCATGCATATGTGTGTTTTATTTATTTACTTATTTGATTTATATAACCACCCATCTCACAAATGGTGACTCTGGGCAACTTATACAGGGTCAAAATAACCATATATCTCAAGCAATACCCTGAGCCAATGGAAGAACCAGGTTATCAAGGCTTTAGGAAATGCCAGCAAGGTTGGGGCCATCTGAATGTAAGAGGGGGTACACTGTTCCATAAGGCAGGTGCTAGGACAGAGAGGGCATGTTTCCTGGGTCCCTTCCATGCCAATCCACACTGCTGCATTCTGGACTGGTGGTTGCTTTCAGAGGGTCTTCTACAACAGCCCCATGTAGAGGGCAGTAGTCCATATGGCCAAGGCATGAATGACCATGAGCAAGGGCTTTCTGATGCAACAATGGGGACAAATGGCATACAAGATGGATAGGTGTTAAAACCTTCCTGAGCATGGCTGCCATCTCTTTTCAACCAGGAGCTGTGAGTCCAAGAGGACCTCTAAATTGTGCACCTCTCTGAGGGAGGGCAACCACATCCAGAACTAAAGATGGAAAGTCCTCAAATTATGGTTATGCAAAGCACGGGGGGAAATGAAGTGGCAATGAATGGAGAGACGGCCTCCAAAGCCTTGCAAAATCATACAGCTGTTGAATGATGCAAAAACAGGTATTTAGCATAGGCACCTGTAGAGGGGTAAATGGCAACACATGTGTGATTATGTCATAGTGCAACCCCCACTGTTTAAATATGTGTGTCAGACAGCAGGACAATGGGGCAGAAGCAGGCTAAAAAAAAATAGCTGTTGAATTAATTACCAATTAAAATTGCCTGTAAAATATCCCACTTCTAAAATTAATGGATCTCCATCTGCATATACCAACCTCTCCTTTTTCTCATTCACACACACAAACACAGAGACACCCCTCCTTCCTTTCAGCAGGAACAGGAAAAAGAACAGGATGGAAATGGGGTAGGAAGATAGGATGGCAAGGGAGGAAAAAGAAAGGCGGGGGCAAAACAGTGGCGATAAGGCAAAGTAGCTACAAAGAAAGGGAATAAAAGAGAGGAAAAAATGGATTAAAATTCACTGGGCAAGCGAACAGTTTTCCCCAAAGGTGGTTAATTTCAAAAGGTATCTTTTGCTTTTTTTAGCCAGTGTAAAACAACAACAACTCCCGATTCATAGATCATTATTTCAAAACACATCTTCCGAAGGTTCTGGAAATAAAGTCAGACTGTTTTTAACGGAGCCTGCTCCCCAGTAAGGGAGTAGTAATGGCCAAAGAAAAAAGTATTTCCTGTGATGAAGAAAAGAAGAAAAAGCATCTGCAAGAAACTTGATAAAGAGTATCCTCCTACAGGGAAAGATTATGGCAGATATTGCAAGTTATGCAAATGAGTTAAAGCTTGTTTGCTTTTCAATTAACAACAGGATCCTGTTTACTCCAAAGTAAGGCACAGTTGCTCCCAGAAAAGCAGATGGAATAATGCAGCCTTAGATTTCTTGCAGGATAAAATTGTGCTTTTTATTATTATTATTATTAAGCCTTTGGGGCAAGTAAAGGCAGCTGGTTAAGTGAAAAGTCAGCAGTCTATTTTTCCCTTAAAGCATCCTGAAAAACACTGGTTTGGAAAGAAGACAGGAGCGTCTTCTCCAGCTTGCAACGTGATTTGCAAACAAGGCTGCTTGCATTTGACTAACGAGAAAAGAGCGTTGCACTTAGCTCAGTTGAATGACCTGGATTGCCTTTTGCAACAACCGGCATGCTATCTGGAGATTCCAGTTCCAATATATTTGAAAAGTACCAGGTTGAGAACAGCTGTGCCACACATAAATAAGCTGCTACTAACTCCAACCTCACTGTTCATGCAGAGAGGCCCCTGACCTGGTTTAATATTGTTCAGGATCTTGGAGCCAGAAACATTCCAGCGAGCTTGATGGTTTACAGCTGGCTGTCTCATTGTTTTGGGAAAAGAAAAACACAGTAGTGATGATAACACAGTCCTCTTTCACAGGTTCACTGCATAGATTGTCCCCACCTTGTTTCACTGACCCATTATAAATTGCAACTAATCCATCTGGTTACACCATTGCAAGCCTTTAGGCTTTTTTACCCACTGAAGTCAATGAATCAGCAGATCAGTCTGTAAGGAAAGTCCGAATACTGCGGTAATTCTTGGGGGATCTTTTTCAACCATGCATTTTACTGCCTTGAATGAAAAGGATTGAACCATGTAATCCTTCCAAACATAGATCCATATTCTGGGTGAGTATGTGGGTCCTGCTTTTTGCCTTGAATTCTTGTAGACTCTGTGAGTTGGAGGGTGATTCCCCTGGAGTTCCTTTCATGGATGCTGAAGGATCAGTTGGCTGAATATCAGCTTGCAAAATCACTTGGTGCATATGTGTTCCTTGTTTACCATCCTTTCTACCACATAATCTAAGTCTCCTTGCTCTTTTCCCTTGCTCTGTAATGCATACTCAGATAGAGGAAGGACAGCAGACAGACAACCTTGGGGTATACCATCCCAACACTTTTGGTGGATGTCATGGTGCGAGAAGCTAGCCAGAAAAAGGCTGAAATCTGAAATAATGCCGTGTTGGGGGGGGGGATCTCTTGCATTCTCTTTGATGAAAGAGAGTTCCTTTTGAACTATCTTCTTGAGGAAAAGAGAACTTGGGTGGAAAAACTTAAAGGCTGAATACAGCGTTCTTGCCTTTCTTTAGCAATCCGATACTTAATATGTTTGTTTATTAAAGACTGCCACACTCTTCCAAGATACTGTTATATTTACACTAAATGTTAAAATTAATCCAATGCACCAGTGATAGTGAAAACAGAATCCACAGTCATAAAAGATGACTTGGTATCCCTCTTCCACCAACTATCCGACCTGTTAGAAGTTCTGTCAGACACCCTCAGGATATGTGCAGGCAGATGTTCATTCTGCAATCTTCTTTCCAGCAGCCTGCACCATCCTGGCTTTGTAGGTTTCAAGTTAATCTCAAGAGAAGCTATCATGACAAAACTTCTCTTGAAGGCCGTTTTCAGATTGGGAGACATGGACCACCAAGGAAGCTTCTGAAAGAGGTGTCCCCTTCAGCCTGTCCCCCCTCCCCTCTCAAAAAAAGTTTCAAAACACTCCCAAGAGAAATTAGAAATATTTTTTGCAGCCTGAGAATGAAATGAAAATCAGAGAGTAGATATCTCAGCACAGTATTAATCAGGAGTGCTCTCAGTCCCCAGGAAAGTGGGGGCTTCATTCTGAGTATGGAATACCTAAATTATACTAGTAGGCTCCTTTTATGGATCGAAAAGAAGTGACTGGGGAAAGGGGAAGGGATTAAGCACAACCTTCTTTTCCTGGGTGAAGTTACTTCTGCTCCTTCTGTTAACAACTGCTCTCTCTCTCTCTCTCTTTGATTTTTAAAAATTGGGGCAGTGTCATTAAAAATGGGGAACTTCCTATTCAGATCTGACTCACGCAGAACCTCACATAGCATAATCCAACTAGAAGCAGATTTTCCTGCCCTCTTTGGAATTTGCTGTTCTTTTAAAGTTCACTAGTACTTTCATTTACATGAGCTTGAAATAGATCCATGCTGTTGGGGAAGTACCTGTTTGATCCCTCTTGTGTCCTTTTCTAGATTTAAATATCTCTCTCTGCATCCCTGTCCTTGCTCCCATCTGATGCTGTTGTTAGCCTACAATGGCGGGGGGGGGGGGAATAGAGAGATAGATCTTCCTGCTTTCCATTGTTGTAATATTTGGCGGCAAGGGGGCAGGATTTTGATTCTGCAAAGAGGCGGAAAGAGTTAACCCACTCACTTTCCTTCCGAATTAAAGCTTTCCTTCCCTGCTGTGTTAAAATAAAAATAAATGCGTTGCTTGATTGCACTGTTCCTGCTCTCATGTGTCCTTTGGCCCTTGAAAAGAGCCAGCCTCTCTAGGTTCCAGCTCTCCATCTGTAATCTGAGCTGTGCAGACCTTGTTTTCTCTGCTTTTCTGATCTGGCTAATTTGCATCGCGCCTGGGAGGGTGGAGTCTTTCTGACACCAGCTCGAAAAGTTCCTCTCGCTGTCACCATTGGTTCAGATGTGCCACTCTGCTTGATGTGCGGTGGGGAAGAATTTAGTGCTGGGCGTAAACTTGGCCTCTCTGGAGGGGAGAAGGCGACATGAAGAATCTACAGTTGAGAGCAGACGTCAAGGTGGGGGGGAGCCTTGTCCAGCATTCCCTGGGGGTAGAGGTGAAATTCATGACTGTCCATTTTTCAGGTGGTGGGAGAATTTAAAACCGTAATCCAAAGCTTTTTTTTTTTTTCCCCCTCTCCTGCTTTCTTCCCTGAATGGGGAAGAACTCATTTTTGAAATGCTTGTTAGATAAATGCCTATGTTTTTCCATGATAATAGTTCCTTATTATAATGCAATGAATGTGTTTTTATGTGCTGTGGGAAATCTTAAGCTTAATGTGTACTAGTTTGCTAAATACACCCATTTTTTTCCTGTTATTATCTGTCTACGGATAATTTGTTCATCATGCTCGTGAGTTGTATTCAGGCTAATTAGGAAACATGGCATACATAAGTGAACTTTCAGATGAGGACGATCTTCCTTGCAGAAACATTGCAAACGTTATTGAGGAACATTTGTCAATTACTTTCTGTCTCAGAGGGATCTAGAAATGGAAGAATTTGAAAGTAAAACCTCTGGAGTGTGTGTGTACGTGTGTATAGAGATCTGAACAATGCAAATACAGTAGAACCGTGCGTGCTTTCATGCTGTTTTACTGTTCTTTTGGCAAATACACTGTATAAAATAGCTGATTAATTGACAGGCACAGGCAACTGTTCTTTTTCAGCAGAATTCTCCTTGGTCTCCCCCCACCCTTTCCTTACATCTGCTTTCATATTCAGGCTCCGTTATTGTGTCAAAAGATTTTGGCACCTGTGGCATCAACAGACTTGGCAAATGCCATCTTAGTATCCTCTTCAGTTGCCAAACATCCATCCCTGGCAAAAGGACATGTGCCAGGATGTTCCTTTGCTTAGCAAGCCTTAAACACAAGCACCCTCCAGTAGTCAATAAATGCCGGGACCATCTTTTCGCCAAAAGAGGGTTTTAAATGTTTTTGATGCGAGCAGCCCTTTTCAGGGCTGGGGGCATGTGAAGATGAGGAGCTTAAGACAGAACAAAAGGCAGAAGATCAAGGCAGCGCAGAAAAATATCCTGGCTGGGTATTTTCTCCCAGAACTTTTTTCTAGCAGACAGCCTCACTGACAAAGGACTGGGGAGGATAGTCCATTAATACCAGCATTGTGCAGAAGAATTCTCCTGTGTCTTTTGGGGGTTTTTTCCCTACCAGTTGTGTTCAATTCGATGAAAGAGAATATGCTTTGGAAATGCTTCCAGAGGGAAAGAGAACTTCTGTGAAATTCTCAAGGGTGGAGTGTCATGTTCTTTATTTAGGGATGAGGTGACGGAGGGGTGTGGACAAACATTCTTTTCATTGTACGATTCCCTCTCCAGCAGTCTGCAGGCTCTCTGGCTTCCTCTATTTCCATTTCATGTTGTTGTTTCCTTGAATGTCCACCTGAAAAAGCCCCACAGGTAGACAGCCAGGGAAACAGCACCATCAGCAGTAGCACACCTTCTGCTGCTTTCAGCCATAAAGAAAGCTGGGGGGAGCCACTGGGAGAAATTTGAAAGAAGTTTCCAGGCACCTGGAGAAGATGAGAAAACAAAAGCCTCATTAGCAGAAGGAGTAAGCTCTGAAGAAATTGCAAGCTAACTTTGGTGCAACAGGATTTAATGTCCCCTAAAGCTGACTGTTTTGTCCAAGGGACAGAGTTAATGACCATCTTTGTGCCTTCAAAACCAAGGCTGTGTAGTGTCAGTTGGGGCTGAGGTCCTCCCCTTCTTCCTGGCCCCTTGAGTCAACAATTGTTACACAAGCCACCTGCACCACAATAGGGGCACATTGAATAAGGCTGGGCCTCTCAACAGCAGATGACAGGAAAAGCAGCAAGAACCGGGAGGGCAGATATATGTATTCTGCACAGCCTGCCCTGGGCTTGCTTGTTCCCATCAGGTGCATTTCAAGATATCCTCTTACTGCCCGGGTTGAAATAAGATGCAGCTTAGCCTCTGTCTGTGGAACAGGAGAGGTGTCTCCTTGACCCATCAGCAGCAAGATGTCTTCAACTGGCTTTAATAGAACCAATGCAGCCACCAAGGAGGACCAAAGCCCTTTCTTTGGGTCAACAGTTGGGGCCTTGGGCTGGTTCAGAGCCTCAGGGCCAACTAGCCACTCCTCAGGTCTGTGGGGCTGAGACCACAAAATCCATATGCCTGGAGATTCTCTTAAAAGAAACGGGAGAGAAGTTGGATCTTCCTGTAGACCCTGAAAGTTCTCTCCTGCTTTTCTCAGGGGATCTCCCCTTGTTTGATCCCATCAACAGAAAACCTGGGAGGTAGGCTGCGTTGAGGGAGCAGCTGCCCCAAAGTCACTCCGCAAGCTTCCATGGCTGAGGGTGGGCTTGAACCTGGGTAGTCCTAGTCCAACACCATACTCACAACATCATGTATTCTACCTGGGTCCCAAAATGCCCCACACAGGTGTTTTCCATGAGCTCTCATGTTCTGCTCCATTTCCCTCAATCTGCGTCATTTGTTTTGCTGATGACGCTTACAGGCATATAAGCCTTTTTGATTGACATATGACTCAAGGAGGTGTATATTGTTGTTCCTTTCTCCTGTTTCCCCCACAACAACCCTGTGAGGTGGGTTGGGCTGAAAGAAAACAACTGATCCAAAATCACTCAGAGGGCTTTAAACAGAATGGTGGAGCAGAATTATGATTCTCAGAATCAGAAGCACAGCAGAGCCAGCCAAGAAGCAGAAGATCCTGAATTTAAGAGGATACACCCAGAAAAAGGAAGGTTAGAGAGAAAAAAAGCATGTTGGTTTCCATTACTGCAGTGTTTCTCAACCTTGGCAACTTTAAGATACGTGGACTTCAACTCCCAGAATTCCCCACCCCGCCACTCTGGGCTGGGGGGTGTTTGGGGGTGTGTTGAGGTGTGTTTTTAGG